CCGGTAGATCCGCCCCGCTGTCTGTGCCGTGAGAGTCGCCGCTCGCTGGGGGGAGGGGGGGACGCAGCTACACGCCCACGAAAGCACAGCGCATCCTAGGGGAGGGGGGCATTTTTTTTTTATGTTACAAAAAAAAAATTACGAAAGAAAAGAAATCTCTATGCAAAATGACGAACATGGTCCTGTGGACTCCTCTCGCCTCTGTTTTGTTGGCTATTTCTCTGTAATTCCGTGTTTCCGCTCTCTCCACCACGCCTCTCGTCATCTCTCTCCTCTCTGCTCCTCTTCCCCTCTGTCTCTGTCTCTCTGTCTCTGCCCCTCCCTCGGCCTGTCTTCCCCAGCCCTGCCCCAGCCGCCCAGTCCTCGCCGGCCAGATCCGGGCGGCAGTTCCAGCCCCGGGCGCGCCCCCTCCAGGCCGCCCTGGCGCCGGCCGCCCCGCCCCGTAGTTGCTCTCTCGTAGCGGCGATGCGCCCTGCATGTCTCCTCACCCGTGGATCGTGACGACTCGAAATAACAGAAACAAAGTCAATAAAAGTGAAAAATAAATAAGTAAATAAATAAAAAAAAATCCTTGAACAAATCCAAAAAGGCTTGGAGTCCTCGCCCAGCTCTCTCTCCTCTTCGAGCCTTTTTCTTTGAAAAGGAAAGCGAGAAAAGAATAGTTTAAGGGAACAGCCGGCGCCCAGCCAGGCTCCGGTGGCCCGAGGACCGGACTTTGTGGCCCGGCTCCTCCCGGTGCTTGTGGGGTTAGCCCGGTAGGGGCCCCGGACCCAGGACTAGGCCTGACCTTCGAAAGGTCCCTCGACGGTTCTGGTCTCCTCGGCCACTTTCAGCGCGTCGGTTCGTTTGATTTTTTTTCCTTTTCTTTTCTTTCTTTCTTTCTTTTTTTTTTTTGTGCACATGAGAAATAAATAATAATAATTAATAAATAATAATAAATAAAATTTTGTATGTCACTCCCCACGGCTCCAGGCTTGTCTCTCCCTGTTTCTGGAATGATCCTCCCTTCTCTCTGGCCGATCCTAATACCCTCTCAATGACCCCCCCAATCATACTCCACCCACGACTTGATCCGGTCCCTTAGCCCAGACGCCATCGCTGGCAGCTGGGTGAAGGCGAAGTCCTAGAAGAACGCGCCCTTCCGTAGCCGCCCTCTCCCACCCACCCCCTCCGCCTGGGCCCTAGGGGCAAGGAACTGCGCTTTCCCAAACTTCAGAATAGCTTCATATTCCCCGTCTATACGGGCCTACCAGGCCAACTGACACCCCTCTCCGTTTAAGGGTTCAGGCTCAGAGGCGACTTCCGAGGGCCTCCACGTGGGCTGGGGGTGGTCTGCGGTTCCCGCTCCGCCCTCGGCTCGCTCTCCAGCAGGAGCAGTTGCGCAGCCGCGCAGCCGCAATTTTATCCCCAGAGTCTGCAGTGAGCCCGCCGAAACCGCGGAGACCGCAGACGCTTCCCGCAAGTTTCCGCGCCTCTGCATTTACTGCTGGGCCGCAGAATGTTGGCTCCGAGGAGACCCCGGGAGCCGCCTCGCGGAACCTCGCACCCTCCCGGGCTCTTTGCCGAGTCCCGGGCTCTGGCGACAGTAGCTGGTACTCGCGCGCCCTGGACTGCGTCTGGGTGAGACCCAGAGAGGACGCACAGGCGCCTATGGCGGTCGTTCGGCGCTTCCAGCCTGTGTATGGGGTTCCGTTCATCTACGCTGGACCCTATGTCCCTGGATGGGTCTGTAGAGGGGGTAGTTGGAGAACTGTGTGCCTTTTTAGACACCCCCGTTCTTGTGCCTAGATGTTCCGTGAGAGATCTCTGTGTCTGGTCCTGTTTGTGGTGACTGTCCCCAGAGGTACTTGGAACCATCCTAGGCAACCTCACGGCTCTAACCCTCCCACATCCTTGCCCGCCACAAAGGCCCCAGCTTCCACCTGGTCACTGCCCTGGAAACTTTCCCTTTCTGCCAGAGAAGGCTTCCCAGCTCAGCTTCTAGTTCAGCTTCCGGGAGCTGTAGGGAGTGGCTGGAGGGCTTGGAGCAAGGCCTAGGACAGACAGGAGCGACCTTTCACTGTCTTCCAGGTACCTCCGTCCCACCAGGATCCCAGAGGCCTTTCTTTCCCCAAGCCACTTTGCCCAGCTTCACCCATTTCAGGGCCCTTCAGGGGGATATGCAGAATGCCCAACCAGTCGGTAAACCCCATCAAGCCCCTCCCCTTCCTCCATCCCTGTCTCCTCCCTTTCTCATCTCCACCCTGCCTGGTACTGCCCGTCTGACCGCCAGTGCCCTAGAAGAGTGTTCTCACATCTCTTTGGTCATACACCATGTCAGTTCAAAGAATTCTGAATGTGTGCTTCTAATACTTTTACTTATTTACAAATTTCATAAATACGTTACTGCACTATTACACACTCTATACAACAATCTAGAAAAAAGAAATATGATCAGAATACATGGAAATGGAAGTTGTAATGCTCCCTTTTTACACCCAAATGATGATCTTGTACCTCCTTGAAGATGCACACCCCTCTGTGGAGGTCTTACTCAAAACCCAGGAACCCAGCCTGGCAGAACCCTTGACTCTGCCCAGTGAGTGAGCTCCAGGAAGTTGCCCAGGCACCAGGCTGGGCAGGGCAGGCCAATGGACGCTGGCCTTGGTGCATGCAGCAGGCACATGGCCCCAGTGCCTGGCTTGCTTTCAGGTCCACCTAGACGGGGAGCCCTGCCCTGCCCAGCCCATCCCATCAGAGCTGGTCGCTGCCCAGAGCATTTGTGTTATTATGTTCCTCCTGGGGTGCCGCTTTCAGCTTAGAATCATCCAGAGAGCCCCCAAACATGCTCTGTAGTCTTTAGCCAATTGCCTGTTCTAAAAGCACCGCACCCTCCCAGGTCAGATGCAAACAGGGCCTGCGTTCCGGCTTCAGTTTGTCTGCTACTTCTGGGCAAATAACTCACTTGACTCTGCTAGTCTTGATGCCACCACAGCCCCATGGAAGTCCCAGCTGAGGTACACCGCGTATGACAGTTACAAACAGGTGTAAAATAAGAGCATCCCAGGTTAGGGGAATAAAAGGAGCAAAGTCGCAAAGGCATGGAGGCACACCAGATAAAATGAAGCATCTGGGAAGGGAGCTGGGAAGTGGCAGGAGATGAAGCTACCAAGTAGCTGGTCACCAGATCATAGTAGTAGGAATGTCAAAATAGTACCTGTCACTCACACAGCTCCTTTTAAGCAAGCTGCTTCACCCAAGTCGCTCCAGGCCATGTGCAAGGTACTTGTACCTGGGACTATTACTGGCACAGAACCGGGCCTGTGCATGGACCCACACTGACCAAGCAATGCCCCTCTCTCAGGAAACAGACCTAGGAGGTATAGAGAGAATGGGGTCATTCACCCTGAGAGGCAAAACGCAGCCGAGGCCCTT